ACATTTTTTGTCACACCGGGCAATCATTTCATTTTTTTTTCTCTCTCTCTCTCTCATTAATTGATACTTACGGCTATTTTGATCTTAGGAGGAGGGTGACCTAGTCTGTAGCCTTCACTTCGCACTAATGCCCATGGAAAAGTTATGTCCATCTCTTCCCTCCCACTCCACAGCTATGGATTAAATAGCACAGTAGACTAAGATTTCTAGCCTTGGGTGGTCACCTCCGAATTCCAAACTGTGGGCAAGAGAAACCAATCCACTTCTTTTATATGCCACTTCCCATCAGACCATGAGCGGTCATGGCTCTCCACAACTTCCTGTCTCTTATTGATCTATTCTTTACCACCCTTCTTTGTCCTCTCTCTGCTCCCTCAAACTCATTCGGTAGTTTACACGCAGTCTTCCTCTATCATTCCATTATATCCTGTGTGTGTTAACATTTCCAAATACAATTTTCTCATTAATTCTGAATTTTTAATTGTCTCATCTGATTTGAATTAAAAGTATCCTTCTAACTTCCATTTCCTTAAATCTTCCTCGTTTTTCACACGCTCCGTCCATGGTATTCTCAACATCCTTCTGTAGAACCACATTTCTGTTGTCCCCAGTTATCTCTTCCTCTGTGAAGGAATTGTCCTGTATTCATTGTCATACAGAAGAGTTGATATTGCGGAAGCGGAAATGGGTAACGCGGAAGACAGAACCTTGTTGTTGTTGTTGTTACTGATGTGGAGGTTAATTCCTTCTCCACCTCGACAAACGTAAATCCAAGAGTCAAAGAAAAGAAATTGAGTATGGGTAAATGAATGTATCATTTATCTATATTATATACAACAACTAATAACTTCTATCTGTTGCTGCTGCTAAGGCAACAGGAAGAGAGAGTGGTGAAATTAGAAGTGAAATGGACATTGTTGATGGCCGTCGTCATCGGTGGCGTTTCCCTCTTAGCGTGTTGGTGTTGACATCAAACGCTGATCCGTTTCGGGTCTGTTTGAATACGCATATATATTGCCTTCAATCGGCTCGAAATTAAGGTTTTGATTTTTGAGTGGGAGTGGCTCTGACTAGTCATAATATATTGTTCATTTCGTTTTGGTTTAAGCAGATGTATGCGTGGAACTGTTGCAAAGGAAACGTATTTACGCAGTTTGCTTTGAATCGTCGAGCGGTCAACATCTGATTTGTGTAGAAAATGTAAGAAGCACAACAATATCGCCGTTCTTTTACTTGTTTTTAACAAATGTTTTCTTATTAGATAAAATTACGCTCTGTTTCCGTCTTTCCCCGCTTTCCAAGCCCCCTTTTTAACTCAGTTTTTAAATATGTCTTTCTCATTCCCATTTTCTTCAGAATTCCTTATTGTTCATGTGTCCTGTCCATGGCATTCCTACTATCTGGCTGTGGAACTGCATCTTTATAGCTTCTACTCTCTTCTTCATCTGTAAGGAAATTATCCGGTATTCAAGGAAGATAGATATGAGGTAACAGTTCAACCCTTATTTCCTTATTTGTAGCGAAATTTTCCTTAATCATTCATATTAAAGCCATGGAAAGTCGTGGTCACCTACATCCTGAAAGGAGACGACGTTAAAAAAAAACGGGATTAGACAGATCCAAACCCACTCTCTCGACTTCTCCTTCAGGCTTCAACGGCAAGGTTATGCCCAGGATGAATTGTGCAGGATCAGTTGCAGTGAATAGATAGGTCAATCTTCAGTAGAAGGTTGAGGCAAAAGCTTTTACGGATTTTCCATGATAGTTTATAGCAATATATATCTTCATGTTATATCATGAATTTGATACAACTTTTTACACTATTTACATATTCCGACTGTTGTCCTCATCTTTATTATCATATTCACGAAGTTTCGGTCGTTGTACTCTTCGGCCTTCTTCAGGTGATTGCGTTGGAATCTCGAACCGAAATAATGTAAATAGTTACAATACATCCTCTCAGAAATACAGACATATGTAAATACAACTTGTCCAATCGTTTCTGAATTGTTTCTTTTCATATATAACACACAAACAACGATCGTTTATTCTTTATTTTACAGCTATGATAAAGACTAGAAAAAAATAGGACCCTTTTACGCGACTTGTGACAAAAAGACTGAGTGTAAGGGCAATGGCAAAAAGAAATAAATGATTTGGAAGGCCGATGAAATATTATCAAACGTCTCGCACAAAACTGGTTCAGATGTTTCAAGGAAGGTGACACCAGACAAGAAGACAAACCAAAGTCAGGTAGACCTTCTAATGTTGGAGAATGAGGCGTTGCTTTAAATGGTTAAACAATAGCCAAGCACTCGTACATTATGAGTATAAATTGATCCATTCGACTAATCATCACCTCCATAGACTCAATCTTGTGAATAAACGTTGTCGCGAAGTTCCTCATGGGCTGACCAATGACTCGGCTCAATTACGTGTTCCTCATGGACTGACCAATGACTCGGCTCAATTACGTGTTCCTCATGGACTGACCAATGACTCGGCTCAATTACGTGTTCCTCATGGACTGACCAATGACTCGGCTCTATTACGTGTTCGCAAACAGCTGCTGGCAAATCTTCAATATGCCCGTTTTGGGCGTCGAATTTTAACTTGGGATGAAAAATTGATTTATTTTCAGGATCGGTGGAGTAATAGATTGCAGCTAGGATTGAGAAATCAGAGATGCGAGTTCGAATTCCAGTGGAGTTCATTACATTTACTCATGTCATAATACACTTGGGAAAAGTATTAATTCATTTCGTCTTGTCCCCAGCTATGGGTAAATAGCAAGACAGACTGGGTTCTATAGCCTTGGGTGGCAACCGGTCTAGGAGAATGAAAACTGAATTCAAACCAGCATGAAGAGGGTTGGATTCCGTAAGGTTATCTTGCCCAAGACATCCCGCTGCAGTACGTGTGATGCCCCTTAGAACCTAATGAGTTACTGGGCTCGTGATCGTGGATAAGAGAAATCAGTGGTTTGCTTAATTCAAGCCAGCTGTTAGAACCAGTTGTCTAACAAGGACGTTTTGAATAGAAGATCGTGTTGTGTGTTTGATAGAATTTCGAGGGGGTGTTGTATTTTGAGCTACTCACAGAGGGTCATTTTTATATTAAGGTTCACCCTTTACAAGGCCCAGGGCCTACTCGATGCAGCAATTATATAATGCTTCGAAAGCACACTATGAGTATCCCCTAAAAAGTGATTATATATATATATATATATAAGTGAACATAGAAGTCAACACTTAGAGGCGACAGTCTGTTTCATGCTATATACAATCGTCAGGCCACGACGTCGCCTCTAAGTGTTGACTTCAATGTTCACTTTTATATTTACACACGCTCTATCTCTGATATTGAGCACTTTATCCCATAAATATAGCACATCTTAAGACTATATTTCTTCATATATATATATATATATATATATACATACAGGGTATGATGGGTAAATTGTCGCCATTTTATATTATTATTTTCGCTTATGCGCATTGTTTGTTTTTGATTTTGTCGACTGCACAGTCAATTATGATCAGTTGGTCAGTGTCTCTGAGAAAATGACCACTATGACGCAATTCACTCCGCCAGAAATTTGGAAAAGGCATGCTCTACTGCTTGGCATTTGCTCCAATACAAACATTTCAGAGTGTTTGGGTGTCAATCTGAGGACATTGCAGGGGATACTGTGTCCCCAAAAGATGTACCGAGAACGATAAAAAAAGTCTTGTCTGACATTATGCTTCCATTCATCTTCCCAGAAAGCCCCAGATTCAACATGGAGGCCTACATCAAGTGCCTTGAGGAGATAGTGCTGCCCTTTGTTAAGAGGATGGCTTCTGGAAGATCCTATGTCTGACAACAGGACTCTGTATCATGCCACACAAGCACGTATACCCATTCATGGCTGTCAGACAATTTCTATGATCACATCACCTCTTACATCTGGCCAACTAACTCCCCAGACTGCAACTCCCTGATTATTATGTATGGAGTGCAGTTGAGCGAGAGACCAACAAAACTCCTTGTAAGACCAAAGATGAACTGAAGGCAGGGATTATGGCAGCATTCACCAACTTAAACAAGGAGACTGTCCAGAAGAGTTGCAGGAGATTCCGAAGTTGTCTGGAGGCTGTGGTTGAAGCGTAATGGCGATTATCTTGAATAAATTTACTCTTTAGTATTTTAAGATATTTTGTGTCATTTTGGTAAATATATCTGTTAAAATGAGTGTTATTTTCTTTTTTCTGTCATTAAGACGACAATTTATCCATCACTCCATTTATATCGAAAAGCACTAAAATATTTCTTATTTTCATATTGATGTATTTCAAGATATTATTTTACCATGGACATTATAGACTGACTTTTGCAGTCGTCAGGAAATAATTTCGTTTTTTTTTCTTTTCAACAAGATGTGTTTGTTTTCGCCGGTGACTACTTTTGATTATAAATATAACACTGAAATTGTTTGTGGCAAATTTTGACTACTTTTTGAACGATAAAAAGTTTTGGAAGTACAGAATTATGACTTTTGATAAAATATGACAGGAGATAAGTGTAAGAAAACCTTAAATAGATTGTTAAATAAAGATATTGCCAAATAATATTTCTTTTACGTTTACTTAAACCAAACAAATTTTTCTTATTCCTCCAGTGGCCCTGTGGTCTAGTGTTTGTCTACTTCTGTGGTGTACTGCTTGTCTGGAATAGTCACGTCTTTCCAGAAGAGACAGACATATGCACAGACAGATAGATAGATAGACAGACGCGTACACACACACACACACACACACACATATATATATATATATATATATATATATATATATATATATATATACGAACAAACTGAGAAAGGTAGAGAGAAACAGACTGATATATATATATATATATATATATATATATATATATATATATATATATATATAGAGAAAGAGAGAGAAAGAAAGAAAAGAAGAAGGAGGAAGAGGAGGAGTGATGAGATAATTATGAACAGACTGGGATAGATAGATAGATAGATAGATAGATAGATAGATAGATAGATAGATAGATTGCTATTAACAGACCAAAAGAGATAGGCCGTCCTGCTGCTATAAACACTCATGAATCATACAGTGAATATACGAACCGGCACGACGCCATATCTCTCAGTGAATTAATCGCTCGAAAGCAATGAACGTACCGTCTTCCATATTTATGAAAGATCGGTCCCTAATCGAGCAATGACGACTCATCTCGGTGTGGCCTGGCCAATGCTTCGTCTAGCAACCGGGTGTGGACACTGATCAGCACTAACGACCCTCCATATGCGCTAACATCCATTTAGCCAGGTCACAGATTCTATCCATTGTTAACTTTAGAACCGATAATGTCCTGTTTATTAAATAAAGGGGATTAAATGAAGGTCCTTGCGTAACGAACGACAACGAGGCTGTAATGGTGTCATTAAGAACAAATTGAGCGCGAAACTTTGACTTGCTAACATTAATTCTTAGCGTGCTTAAGGTGTACCTCCCCTCCTTCTGAGATAGATAGATAGATAGATAGATAGATAGATAGATAGATAGATAGATAGATAGATAATGAAAAGACTGAGATAGATAGATAGATAGATAGATAGATAGATAGATAGATAGATAGATAGATAGATTAAGGCATACAGTCATGTAAATACATTAACAAAGGTTTTTTTTTTCTTTCTAGAAATATAAGGATCGATAATGAACAGATTGAGATAGATAGATAGATAGATAGATAGATAGATAGATAGATAGATAGATAGATTAGACTATTTCTTCCTAAGATAGCCAATAGCAATAATGAACATGCATATAAAAACAATAACGTTAACATTTTCTATAAAAGCACGTTAACTATAAGCAAGATGGATTTCTCTTAGAAACATTATAAAGAAATACACAACTGCAGTCGACCAGAAAAAGAAAATTAAATTATCTGCTATAAAATGTCAAAACTGCTAACCTTATAATCAACAATAACAACAATCCTGCAAGATCTAGATTATAGAGAATCAATATTATTTATGAATTAACATGCTCCTTAATGAAGTGCGCTATTGATGAAACTAAACTTATGAATATTTATATTCGATACGCCTATCGAAAAGATTCACGTTACACAACTCTGACCATAGCTTTATTAGGACATTTAAATACACACACGGAAGCCTACCAAACTTCATCTGCAACATTCTTGTAGAAAATACAAGTATAATAGCCTCATCCACATGTAAAAAAAGATTAAAAATAATAATGGAAGCATTTATAATAGCAAAAGAAAAGGCCAACACTCAATAACATCAGCTATGAACAAGGCCACAATGTACTGACCATGTTTGGAAAATAATAAAACATTCCCTTCATTCTAGAAACATATAAATTAATCTACACATTCAGTTAAAAAATAAAAAATATAAAAAAATACGTCCTTGATAATGGCTTATAGGATAGCCGAAAGTGCTCGGAAATTAAAAACATTTGGACAATGTTTACACATTCTGTGTCCAGAAAAGAAACTCAAGAAAGATTAAATAAAAAGCCTTATCACAGTACCTTGTCAGTCGTTTTTAGTGAAACTTGTATAAAAGAGGGATTTCTGCTCATATACATAATTAAACTCATATCTATAATATATATATATATATATATATATATATATATATATATATATATATATATATATATATATAGGGTGTTCTAATAACTTGGACCGATTTTTAAATGTGAATCAAGTTTAAGCAGCTAATGATTTTTTCTTTTTCTTTCAGATTTAATAACTTAAGTCTTTGGAAAAATTGTTCGTAAATTCGAACAAACTGGGCCAGTGGCAGATGTGAAAACACCATTGCGTGCTCGTTTACGCCCTTCAACTAAAAACATTGCTGCAGTGCACGAGAATGTGGCCAAAAATCCAGACCCCACTATTCGTCATCGCGCGCAGGAATTGAACCTCCCCACAACAACGTTACATCGAATTTTGACAAAAGATTTGTCTCTTCACTCTTACAAAATTCAATTGACACAAGAACTGAAACCCGCTGACCATTTGGAGCGCCGTACATTCGTCAATTAGGTGCACGAGCAAAGACAAGCCAGTGAAGATTTTTCGCAAAAAATCCTCTTTAGCGATGATGCCTATTTTCATCTTGGTGGATTCGTTAATAAGCAGAATTGTCACATTTGGGCTGTTGAAAAGCCACTGCATCCACAAAGGTCACTGTTTGGTGGACATCTTTTGCTAGCGGAATCATTGGGCCGTAGATTTATAAATTTGAACGTTCATTTTCTTAATAGGCTTCAATAACTTTAACAGGTTGTTTCATTGTTTATCTTTCTTTGGTTGAAATTGCCAAACATTTAAGTTGTTAAATCGGAAAGAAAAAGAAAAAAATCACTAGACGTTTAAACTTAATTCAAATTTAAAATCGGTCCAAGTTACTGGAACTATATATATATATATATATATATATATATATATATATATATATATATTGAGAAACATCTATATATATAAAAAATATGAAAATATTTATGCAATAATATTTCTGAAGCAATGCTATACACAAAATAAACTGTCACAAATGTTTCTTACAGTTGTAACGGTTTCTTTTCAGTGAGTCTGTTAGAATCTTTTCTAATTAATCCGAAGACTCCATCCTCATGTGCCGTATTTTTGAGATTTCGATTTCAAAACCCTTATATTTTGATAGTTTCTTGAAGATCTTCAAAGATACATGACAGTCTGCACTGACTGCCACATTATGTCTTTGCGGTCTCTAATCACAATGTCTTGAAAATTAGCTTTTATTATTCTGTCTGTGTGTATTGTGAAGTCTCAAAAAATCATTTCCAGTCCTATCTTCATAACCGGGTCTGGGTGCTGTCCATATCAATTTCTTGCAGTTTCCTTTTTGTAAAAGTTGCATATTTTCCAATGCAGATGTTGGCACAATCTATTATGCTGGGTTTTATATTCAGTGGGTGCTAATGCCATGCAACCTGTTTCAAGATCGTCATTCGTTTTTAGATATTTATCACAGAATTTGCATTTTGGGCTAACATAGTTTTCAGTATATGCGATTGGTAAATTCTAGTTAGCATGCATCAATCCTGTGCAACAAGAATAAAGTCTTCCCTTTCAGCTTTTAACCCTGCACTATGTAGCCATTGATGGGTACGGGGTTTTTCTACATAAGCTTGTTTGGCACGGGCAGGGTATTGACCGTGAAGCGGTTTATCTTGCCATTGTTTTTGCATCTGCTTTCTTTACGTTTTATTTATTTTGGAGCTGCTGTCGGTGTAATATGCTTTAATTGCTTTTCATCACCAATTTGAAATTCCATTTTGAAATTGTTGGCTTCCTTTATCACTGAATAAATTTTCTTACTTCTTTCATGTTCTTTGATAGAGATCATCATCTAGTCTTTTGTAGTTTCAAGACATTTTTGAAGGCGGACTGTTTTAGTTTTGTAAGAAAATTCCAGAACTAATCCTCTGCCTCCTTCGGATCTGGGTACATACAGACGATCAGCATCAGCTTTGGGATGATACATGCGGTGGCAAGTGAGAAGATTTCTCGTTTTGACATCCATTCGCTTAATGTCAGCTATAGTCTATTTAAAGATGTTGAAAACTGAATTACACCACAGTGACAGCCAAGATGTTTATGTATGTAAAAATAAGTTAATGGCCAAATATATAACTGTTTGAAATGTCATCTGTACGGATTCCAGTCGAAAACAAATATAAACGAATGAGAAAATTAAGTCCCTTGAATTAAGCGGTCAGTTGAGAGAAAATTGAATAGGAGTAGATAGGTTCGCCTATCGTCCGGTTTACACTCCTCCCCCATCCTTTAAAAAGATGTTTATTACATTTTTCCGTTTTAGGATTGGGTTTAAGCTGATCTAGTTCCCTTCCTACTACAGATGTGAAATGAAATATTTAAATAAATACACCAGAAATATATAAATAAATACATCTTGATGATTATTATATGGTTTGATTATTATTATTATTGTAATTATTGTTATTATTATTATTATTGTCAGTACTATAAAAAAAAAATTGATGTAACAAACTACCAGTGGCATACCTACAGTCTATGACTTGTCGTGTCCATAAAGAAATGCCTATATACATACATACACGCACATAAATTTTAAATTGGTAGATAGATAGATAGATAGATAGATAGATAGATAAGTGGATGACATAGATATATAGATAGATAGATAGATACATATACTTATATATCTTCACTAGGCTATTATTTCGGGGTTTTTTTGTTGTTGTTTTTTTTTTTGTTTTTTTTTTTTGTTTTTTTTTTTGGTTTGGGATATCATAAGTATTAATTGCAGGAAGTTAGATTTATAATTAAATTCTTATTTATTATTGTTTGAATTTATATTCATATGTCAGTATTTATACGCTTATGTATACGCATACGTGCATACATACGCATATATAGGTATACATACGCGCACCTATAAATATATAAACATGCCTACGCAGGTACACATGTATACTTATGTCTGCTGGGCACCTCCAGCTGGTGTTATGGTTAGCAAGTTTGTCTCACTAGAACAATCATGACTGACTAGTGAGTTCGATCCTTACTAGATGCCCCATACTTTCGGTCTTGTGTCACATCTAAGCTACGTTTAGAAAATAACTATACTTATGTCTGCTTTGTTATTATGTATTTCTTAAATGGTGATATTATTTTTAGGATATTAATTAAGATTGGTTGGGTTAATATAATTAATGATTTAAACAAACACTGTTTAGTGTTCATTTTTTTTTTTTTTTTACCAAGGCACCTTTTGGCGAACACTTCTTCAGGGATCAAAGTTGCTAAAATTATTCTATCAAAATTGGTATGAATAACTAAGTAATATGGAGGAAGATTCAGAGCACGTTTAAAACATGTAAATTCACGATTAAAATATACAAAGAAGTGTTAGCCGAAAAGTGCCTTAGTTCAAATATATATATATATGTGTGTGTGTGTGTGTGTGTGATTGAATAAATTGCAAACGTTATGTCTGCTTATTTTTATCATATGATAAAAATAAACATACATAACGTTTGTAATTTATTCAGTCAGACATTCCTAAATGAGTATTTGCTACTTAAATACACAAATATATGCATAAAGTTAAAAGACAATAGGAAAACCGTATTATCAGCCGACGCGTTTCGTCCAATGTGGAATTTTTCAAGGCAAAACCGAAATGAAATTTATTGAAAACAAATAACTATTAACAACAAACAAAATGTCCTTAGCAGCTAGAAGAAATTAGAAAACGCTACTGTATTTATATTGTCAACTGAAAATTACAAATATGAATACGATAGCGTTTTCTAAATTCTTCTAGTTGAACCGACTGTAAGACCGGGGAAAAATAGTCCGAGGATAATGCTACAACACTGGTTTTACAAAACTATGGAGAATGGAGAGAATGTTTTGAGATCATTGTTTCTGTACTCAAAGACGACTAAATCTCTTTATTGTTTCTGCTGTCTGTTGTTGCTAAAAACAGAGCAACGCAAATCAAGTCTAGCAAGAAATCCAGGATTTCAAAAGTTCTGGAAGCTTAATTTAAAAATGCCTGAACATGAAAATTCGCCTGACCACCAAAGAT